GTGAGTGAGTGAGTGAGTGAGTGAGTGAGTGAGTGAGTGAGTGAGTGAGTGAGTGAGTGAGTGAGTGAGTGAGTGAGTGAGTGAGTGATACAGAGTCCTTTGAAACTTTTCTCACAAATTTCCTCCCAAACACCAAGGCCCAATCCAAAACCTGCCCCTAAACACTACCCCAAAGCATCGACCCTCTGTTTGCAAGTTCTCACAGAGGCTCTGCCATATTAAGGGGTAGCAGAGTTAAGTGGGGCTGCACCCTAACCAAGTAGTGGTTAGGGTGAGTGGACCTTAATGTTGACTCCCTTGACTAGGGAGTCAAGATTAATACAAACTGGCTGGAATTTGGCAGCTGGTGCAGCGGCACAAATGCCAGTGGAACCATCTGCACAGAAATGTAAGTTTCTCTGCTTTGCTACATCTTTGGTGATAAGAAAAATTACAAGTTTGAAAAAATAAAAAGAAAAAAGAAAAATTAAATCCATATATATGCCCCCTACATGCCCTTACAGTTGTATAATATAAAAGCTTAATATAAAGCAAGTAACATAAAGCTTAAAGGAGCTAGACAAATGTTTCAAATGTCCACATATGGCACATGGGGGGTGTCTGCCATGGCAATGGCTGCTTTCCTTTCCGGGGGAGGGAAGAAGCCACCCCATTCCAATTCATATATCCTCCAACCTCAATCAACTCTCCCTCTACAGCTGTGATTGTGACTTCATCGAGAGTAACATTCGACAGTGAAGGGCAGGAGCATAGGGGGTGGTCAGGGAGCGGGCCCAAGACTTTTATTAAAATATCCTATGGACTAAAACATTTTATGGAGTGGTGTATTTTTGCTTCTTTAGGACCTAAACTTTTAGTACTTGATTAACCATAGAATATGCTGTCTACCAGAAATTGAATCAGAGTCTGACCTTGTGCTCGAGCGTACTTGCATCATGTAGCAAGACAATGAGCCTAAGCATACTAGAAAGTCCCCAAAAAACAAGGTTTCAGGATGGCCTAGTCAAAGTCTATTCTTGAATTCAATGAAGATGCTTAGACGTGAAACAGATCTATCATGAAAAATAAAATCCAGTTTGCCCAAAGAAGCAATTCTGCAAAGAAGAGAGGTCAAACGATATGTCATGATCACCTCTAGTCTGTAAATGCCTCTAAGTACTGTAATGCTTACAGTTTTTGAATTTAGAGGCAATTGTTTTTGACTTTTTTTTTTCAGGGAATGAAGGCTTCACAAGATCTATTTTTTAGATGTTTGTTCATTTATGTGTGTTATTGTTTTCTGATTGCAGAAGTAAATGAGAAATCTGTGAAGGAGATAATATTTATCACAGCTCTCAAGCCTCACAGTCCATTGAAACTGAACAAAATATCATCATCTTATTAAAAGGATACTTAAACTAGAAACCTGTTTATATTTGCACAGTCTTGACATTGAAAAAGCACAACAACACAGTATTCTAAGAAATATTTCTTTGCATATTTTTCCAATCCGTGAATCTGCAGGGAGCCTTCTGCCCAAAAAAGAGCAGAAAAAGTCAGTAATTCAAAGAAATCCATTAGCATTCCTTGTGGGTTGCCTTTTTTGACCTGCAGATACATTATAGATTTTCATGAGTGGCTTCCAACTAATTAAGCAAAAATACATTTTTATCTAGCTCTATTTTACCCCAGCATGTTTCTAGCTTTGCCTCTTGTTTGGCACAGAGAAAACACTGACTGTTTCACTGCTGCTTTGTGGGACCACTGATCCCTGCTGTCTGCTTGGATCTTTGCCAGTGTGAGTGCAGAAGCTGGACTCTACAGTAAACCTACCGTGAAACAAGAACAATGAGCATAAAGAGATTTGGAAGAAGATCATTAAGTTGCAGCTGGTAGTGTATTCTGACCACCAGTTAAGTGTTTGCTGAGGGTTTTCTTTTCTTTTACCTTTCTCTTAAATACATTTTCTATTTGTATTTTTCCATCAGCTTCTATCATACACCAGCGGCACCAAGTACTACCACGGTGGCTCCAGAGATGCTGAAGGCTTCAGCTTTGCTGCAGGCGATCCCTCCAAGGGGGACGCTTCTCTCTCCATCTCTCAGCTGTCACGCGTTCACAGCGCTACCTACCAGTGCAAAGTGAAGAAGTCACCTGGGGTCGACACTCGCAAAGTGTCACTGGTGGTTAAGGGTAAGACCGGACATTGACCTGTCATGCAGCTGCATTAATTATAGGAGTCACTTTTAACTCTAGAGTTTAAGAGGATGTGAATGAAGAGTTATTGGAGGTGTCACGTCACTGCTGCATTTGCAGTTTGCTAAAACAGACACTTCTTACATTGCTTGAAATAACAAACTTGTGATTAGCTTATTGACTAATTGGTCACTAGTGGTGATGATTTCTATCTTAGGGGAAATAGAGTAAGTGTAGATGAATTATCCTTCTCCACTTCATGAATTTTGTGCTACATCCTGTTGGAGAAACACAATAATCCATTTTTTTTTTTTTGGTATTTGCTTATTCTCGTAGTTTGCATACATCCTGGACAGGTTGTAATGTCCTTCACAGCCATCAGTTAAGCTCCCAGTCAAATAGAAAAAAAAAAAGCTAATTTTTAAATGGTGCACGTTTTCAGTATTAGGCATTGGAGCCTAATTATTCTGTGATGGATTTGATCAATCTTGAACAATTTTTTGTCCTTTACTGCTGCTTTTACGACACAAATGTGGTTGTCAAGAATGAAAGAAACAATTTTTGTAATTTTGGGAGAAAAACTTTGTTTTCTAAATGTTTTTCAACTTTGTTTTGTTTGGCCTTCTGACTGCAAGTGTCACAAATTACAATAAGCACAGCTTTTGATGTTGTTAATGATAAATGTTATAATTATTGGTCAGATGATGAACCAGCTATTTGATTTTAAACACACTTTTGTCTTGTCTATTACCTTTTTTTTGTTCCTCTTTCCACCCACTCAAAATATGGATAATTGTAATTTCATCACTGCTTTTGAATTTTTGATCAAGGTTGTTGTTTTCTTTGATTTTCTTGAACAAAGTCTGACTCTACTATTTGTTCAAAATACTTAAGCGTAGGTTTTCACTCTGTTAGAGTTTAATGTTTTTTATTACATTGACCTTGATCAACTGAATAAAGAAATAAAAAATGCTAAAAAAAAAAATAAAAATCAGAAGAACGATGAGATAAAAAGTTCTAACTAAATCTAAAGATGTCTGCAGGAAGGTTTGGAAGTGGCCTTAAAGGAAAGCAGTTCTTTTAGGTAAATGTTCAGATTTGAGGTCTTTTCTTTACTGTTGCTACAATTCTGTTGTGTTCAATAACTATTGTGATTCTGACTTTAACTTCCAACTTTTTTGAAAGGCATCAATTCAAAGAAAGTCTGATGTTAATAACAAGCATTGGCAGCCACTTTTTTCAAAACTAGTGATTAAAGGAAAGCTGCAAATTAACAAGTCACTTAGCTTTTGATCTTTGTTAAATTAGGTGGTTATTAGATTTGCTTCAGATTGAACCAATACCTTTCATTTTGTTTTCTTTTGTCTTCTTTCCTTATCCTTCCTATGTCCGAAAGTACTATTTTAATCACATAAACATTTCATGGATTATATATTTCATGTTTAAGTACAAATATATAAGATTTGTTGTAGAAATTTATATATAGAACAGCAGCAATAAAAGTTGTTTCATTTTTTGCTCTGTTTTTCCTAGCCCTTTTCCTCAAGGACCCTTGTTTTGCATGTTTTAGATGTTTCCTTGTTGCATTACAGCAGAAAAACAATGGATGATTAACAGGCATCTGCAACAGTTGATTGCAGAGGAGGAGCCCTCATTTGAATCAGGTGTTCTGGAACGGAGACATATCTAAAACATGCAGGGCAGGGTTCCCTGAAGAGCAGGGTTGGGAATCACTGCTCTAAACAGACTCTGCTGTATAAATTAACAAATGCTGAACTATAAATGGCAGAGAATGCAAAAATGACCCAGTGGTTTTCTGATCGTAGTGAAGCCATCTGTACCTAAGTGTTGGCAGGAAGGAGGGGAGCTCATCGGTGAAGCTGTTTCTCTGCACTGCCAGTCTTCTCAAGGGTCAGCTCCCTTAAAATACAAGTGGCAGAGAGAAAGTAAAGACCCCATGCCTCCTACTGCCACACAGAGTAAGTCTGACCTCTGTTGATTTCATCATGTTACTGCACAGGAAGTATGTGTGTGCGTCTCTCTGTGTGTGCAGCCTTTGGAAAAGGAGGCTCTGTGTTATTGGATCCCCTGTGCACTAAATCGAAGCAACCATTGTCTTCCTGACTCCACAATAGCTGCCTATTAACTCTCCTCTGAAAGGGATTTACTGGGGTTTTTACAAATTATTGACATGATGATTCATCCCGGAGAAAATATGAAGGAATAATGATTTGCTCTCTCCAGATGTCCGTGCAATTATCTTTGGTGGACTTTGGTTTATCAGCTGCAATCATTGGTGTTTTCTCCCCATGACAGATTTAGTGAGTCCTTTCCATTATTTGTTATCAACTACAGTTTGTTCCTGAGATATGCACAGACCTTGGCCTTTTTTCCTATTGTAACACAATACCATCAATAATTGATTTTTCTCTCAAGAATTTCATAACGTTTTAGCCTGTGACCCCCAATATAATAAACAATATTTGGACCTGGCAACTCCCTGAAAATACATCCAATGCCCCTCTACATTTGTGTAGCAACATAAGTATATATATTTGAAATAAATGTATCCCTTTAAAGGACATTCAATTATACATTTTTATATTTCTAATTTTATGTAAGATTAATTCAATTCAGTTTATTTATATAGCGCCAAATTCACAACACATGTCACCTCAAGGCACTTTACAGTTCAACCAGATCATACAGTCAAATTGATACAAAGTTTTCTAATCTAAGGAAAACCAGTTGATTGCATTGACTCATTGACTCAAACACAATCCCTCATACTAAGCATGCTTGTAGCGACAGTGGAGAGGAAAAACTCCCTTTTAACAGGAAGAAACCCCCAGCAAAACCAGGCTCAGTGTGAGCGGCCATCTGCTGAGGCCGACTGGGGTTCAAGGAGACAGAAGCAGAGACCCAAAAAGCAGCTGTAAAAGGCGGCCCCGTCCAGGAAACACACAGCCAGGCAGACGAGATCCGAGCCAGCTCCCATCCCAGAGGACGAAGAGAGCACATCCACTTAGGAGATTTATGTTTTAATAGAAAATGTACTTCTGTTTATTTTATGATATATTTATTTATCTATGTTGATCGATTTTGGCCCTCAATACACTATAGGGGTCAAATGATGATTTTGAAAATTAGCTGGGTACCCTCAGAGTTCCATATTGGAAAATTTATTTTGGCATGATTTTTAGTTACAGATAATCAAACAGTGAGATATCCCTGGGAAGTTGATGGAAAATTACTCAAAAACATCTTTATATAATGTTTTAAATTGTTATGCCCTGTCTCATGATGCCATTTGTGATTATTTACTTGCGCCCCTTTTACTTTGTTACCTGTAGATAAAGTCCAGCCTGGCCTAACAAGTCACACTTGAACTGAAGGTTGATTACGAGAAAGCATTTGTAGGGGGAAAAAAAAAAATGAAAAAACTTTTTTTCTGCAATTTTTCACAAGGCAAGGAAAAAACAAGACATTTGAAGGAAAGTGCTCTGGTCTGATGAGAGCAAAGTTTAACCTTTTGGTCTCTATACAAAAATGCTGTGTCACTGAAAACCAACAATCTAAACCCACCATGCTGTCTCTGAGAAACGGTGGTGACAGCATCATACCTTTTTGAGAGTTCTCTTAAATGGGGACAAGGAAAGCAGAATTGTTGATAGGAAGACGAATCAAATGAAATCAAATACAAGGTAACACTGAAAACAACAACAATAAAATACTTGTAAGAGGCTACAATAGACTTAAGGCTGGGGTAAAGCTTAGCAAGGAGGGGCTCATGCAAATGATGTTTCCTTCATTTAGACCCATTTAAGCAGCTTATAATGACATAATTCTCTGTATGTGGCCATGTGCATTACAGACAGTGAAACCGGGGAGATGAGAATCAGCAATCACACACAGAGATTTGTGGGGATCTACCTTTGCGAGGTGAGCAATGCTGTTGGAGTTGAATGCTGCAAGATCAGCCTGAGAGCCAACAAGCGTAAGAGGAAAACACAGACACACACAAACACACAGCGCAGCATGATCCACACATTAAATCATTAGGGACCCTGATTTAAAGAGCCTTTTTCCCAGTTCTACAGCTTTGCTGCAATCTTCTCGTGGCTCCATTTAGGTAGCATGTGGCACTCTGGGACACAAATGCGTCATTCCTAATAGCAGTAAGATGTTACTTTTAATGTCTAGAAAAAACTGTACTCATGTAATTTTCTTGCTTGCATTTCATGTTGTTGTTTCTCTGCTGTTGAGTCAGAGAGTCACTGAAGAGTAAAGCCAAAATGAGTCTGCCTCCTGTTGTTTATCTATCATCTTCTGCAGTCTGCAGGAAACAAGAAAAAGGTACCAGCTGAAAATAAGGACAAATCCAATGGAGGTGCAGCATACGGCTATACCATAGCAGACCTAGTTCATTTGAAAAGAAATCCAGAATTACCCCTTAACAATAGTTCTATTAAAATATGCGAAGAGCCTTGACTGTGGTAGAAAGCATGAAGCTGTGTCATAGGGGATAAATGTGGCAACTCAGAGCTCCAGCAGGGAAGAGACTCAATGATTCAGCTTGCTATTCAAAGAAAGCTCATCTCCTTTATATTAATACTCCGATAAAAAAAAAAAGCCTGCATTGTTTTGGAATCTCTGTCTTTATGTGCCTCGTGATCCGTGGAGCGAGCCACTGACACCGGCATCTTGTCGAGTCCTTGGCTCCTTGACTCAGTGCTCAGATTTTTGGCTCCGGGCAGCAAATGATTCATTTTCATTTCAAGCTCAGGCTTCTGTTTCAGACCAGAGGTTCCTGCCCTGCAGCTCAGGAACGCCGCCAAGGGGTTTGAGGATAATCAGCAGGACATTATGGAATGAGTTTGCTGCATAACTTTCTTTTTCCTATTACACATTTCTCTCCCTCTCTCTCTCTCTTCTGATGATTGTACCTTTGTGAGCATTGAACATTTTATTGAAATAACACAGACTGAGGTGTTTTGTTTTTTTATGTGATCTTCAAATACAATCAATAAAGCATATTTCATAACCACCACCTTTCTCATTGTAAGGCTTCAGGTACCATGTAAATCTTTTGCATCACATAATAAAAAAAAAATAAACATGGTAGCTCAGCGCAAATTGTAAAAAGGTGGGGCTGGTTTGACACTTAATTAAGGCCTGGACCCCCTTTCAAGAGGAAGGGAATGGGGGTATGATATATTTTTTAATACCGTGGTATATTTGTTCAAATGTTCACCTTAAATAAGCAAGCCAAATAAAAAAGTTCGCTAGTTACAAGTTTCCCTAAATGTTTGCATGGACGCCACATGGAGGGGAGTCGAAGACGAAAATCACATCATTTAGCAGCGCTTAACTTGCAGAAGCTTCAATCAAGCCTAAACCTGTTATCAGTTTAATTTCACACTGCTGCCAGTCAGACACAAGGGAAACTTCTGACAGATTCAGCACCACAATTAGCTGTAAGTGGTTAAATACATGCTTCTCTTTTGCACCTTACTTTGAGAATTTATTAATTCTCCAAAGGGTTTGAAAATCTAATACTTTGGTGGCCAAGAGCTCATCAGAGATGAAGAAAAATGAGCTGCAAACACAAAGGGCACAAACTTAAAAACCAGAAAACTAAAGAAAAATGCTTCTAATACCAATTGATAGGGTGCATGTTTGCACAGTTTGTAGCATTGTTGCCTTGCAGCAACAAGGTCCTGGGTTTGATCCTGGGCAAGGGTCTTTTTTTACCTGTGGTTTTCGGCTGAATCCCAAAAAGGTTCCTAAATAACCCATGTTACTGTGTCAAAGAGGCAGGTGCTCTTAGGTTGGGTCCCTGCTGAATCGCCTGGGATCTGTAGTGGGATGTCTGGTCTAATCCCAGTTGTAATGTCAGAAAGTCAGTTGGTCATTATCCATTACTTATTTTACCTCAAAAGGTTGTCTAAAGAGCGAGAAGGTGGAACTCAAAACTTCATCTGTTTTGCCAAAAAGCTTTGATATTTTAAGTTGGGTTTTATGCTCCCAGCACAACAATAGGAGGGATTACGAGTTGGATGCCATCAATTTATGACGATTTGCTTTAAGTTGTGCCATCATCGACGTGTACAACTCCTACATACAATAAATATTTGTATTTATATATAAATAATATATATTATATATAAATATTATAATTATAAAGTTAAAGTATAATTTTTTTGTACATGTGGAATACAACTTGATTAATAACATTTTGACTAAAACCAACTTCTGTTTGTGCTCTAGGTACGAGATTTAGCTATTATAATAAAATATACATAACAGTTAGCTATTGTGAGTTAGTCATACAATTATAAAGCAACAATTCTGGTCAGATGCAGCTTGATAATAATTATTTAAACTTTTTTAAGTGGAGTGTTGGCCTAATAGTTAGAGCAGTGCACTTGTGTTCTGAGAACGTTGCAAGTACCCGGTTTGATCCCCATAGCCTCCACTCTGGGTTCCTGAGCAAAACCCTTAACCCTACACTGCTCGCTGGGCACCACACAATGGCAGCCCACTGCTCCCTAAAGGTATAGGTCAAATGCAGAGAGTGAATTTCCCCATTGTGGGACTATAAAGGAATTTTCATTTACATTCTTGATTGGGCCAGATTATTGAAAACCTTTGGTTAGTAGATGTCCATCGTTTGTTCTCTGCCTGATCACCTGTTTCTGAATCTTTTTCTTGAGCCCACTACACCTGAGATTTCTGGACATTCTCCCTCTGTGGTATCGACTCTGTTTCTGTGCCAAGATTCCGGATTCTCACTTCCCCTCAGATCCACCGGCCTGACCTTGTTTAGTCCCTGGACATACTAATTCATCCTTTATTCCTGGAAAACCAAAATCCTCTTCAGAGCAAGTGTCTACATTACTTTGTTCACCAGCATCCTTTGAGTGTCACTAAATTTACTCTCGGAGTCATCTGCCTGCTTAGACATGATGTCACCCCTACACTGAGATCTGCAGTAGAGACTGACATTTTTTCGGGAATCCCACGGGTCACGGGATTCCCGTGGGATTCCTGTGGGATGGGAGTCAGTATTAGTAACGATCACGTGATTGGGACGTACAGGATTAAACATTAACGGGAGCAAACCAATATTAACTAAAAAAATCTAGGATCGATGCCAAAAAATAAAATAAAATAGAAAAAAATCCAGTACTGGCGCCGCCATTTTGTAGTTTTTTTCCTTGAAGCCTACACTATAATGCGAGTCAAAAAAACTACACGACCCAAAAACTAACAGTGCTTCCGCTCGAGTTTTTCACCCGCGCTCAAAAAAAACAATGGAGGGACCAACAGTTAGTGGCGAACTCGACTCGAATGGGAGTGGTGCAGGAACGGGAGTCATTCTGAATGGGAGCGGGATGGGAGTGGGAGTAATTTCACCAGGAGTGGGACGGGACAGGATTTAGATTTCTACTCTGGCCCGGGATCGGGACGGGACACGATTTTTTTCTGTGGGATTGGGACAGGACAGGAGTGAAAATCCAATCCCGTGTCAGTCTCTAAAGAGGACCCTTTAACCGCCTCCTCCCTCTCCTCACGAAGCCTGAGAAGCTTGGTGGCTTTTCTATGGTTAAAATTCAAAATCAATAATCAATCAGGTATTACTCTGATTTCTCATCCTCAGAGTATCCTGTCCTACCCTTCTATGATTATATATTTCAATTGTTCCCTGTTGTGTCTGGATTAATTTTTGGAATTTTACAAAATATTTTGCTATATAGAGATATTCAACATGCAAAGGTCCCCCATAATTAAATTTGGTTGGGTTCTTCTTTGAAGTCATTTCTTCTCCAAGAGATTTAAAGGTGAAGAGTTACAAACTCAGACTTATAGGCAGTAGCCTCCTACTGAATTTCATATATGGAGTTTACACACATGTGTAGGCCAACAGTCACTCTTTCAGCGATGAAGATGTCCTCATCCAGGATGGGAAGGAACATTGTGTCGAGAGAGTTAAAGAACAAATACTGTCACTCTGAACTGGAGTCAACTCTATCTTGGAACAATAAGCTGTCGTTGCAGCAGAAGCGGTCGTTTAGCCACTAGCTTAACCTCTTACACCCTAAGGGGGTATAAATA